CAGCTTTATCCCAGGTGGGTCAGTTTTATCTCAGCTTTATCCCAGGTGGGTCAGCTCTATCCCAGCTTTATCCCAGGTGGGTCAGTTTTATCTCAGCTTTATCCCAGGTGGGTCAGTTTTATCCCAGCTCTATCCCAGGTGAGTCAGTTCTATCCCAGCTTTATCCCAGCTGGGTCAGTTTTATCTCAGCTTTATCCCAGGTGGGTCAATTTTCTCTCAGCTTTATCCCAGGTGGGTCAGTTTTATCCCAGGTGGGTCAGCTCTATCCCAGCTTTATCCCAGGTGGGTCAGCTTTATCCCAGGTGGGTCAGTTTTATCCCAGGTGGGTCAGCTCTATCCCAGCTCTATCCCAGGTGGGTCAGTTTTATCTCAGCTTTATCCCAGGTGGGTCAGGTCTATCCCAGCTTTATCCCAGGTGGGTCAGTTTTATCCCAGCTTCATCCCAGGTGGGTCAGCTTTATCTCAGCTTTATCCCAGGTGGGTCAGTTTTATCTCAGCTCTATCCCAGGTGGGTCAGTTTTATCCCAGCTCTATCCCAGGTGGGTCAGCTTTATCTCAGCTTTATCCCAGGTGGGTCAGCTCTATCCCAGCTTTATCCCAGGTGGGTCAGCTCTATCCCAACTTTATATCCAAGCTTTCTCCCTGATTTGGGTCAAGAACGTGCTGCTTTCTTCATCAGCTCAGCCAGCTGCCAGTTTGGGATTCCTTGTTTTCTGCAAGAGATAATTGGAGAAAATCCGATCAGTTTTCCACTGAGGCAGAGCTTGTCCTGGGGCTGAAAGCAAACCAAGTGCTGCAACAAGTGTAACTTTCTATCGGAGGAATTGTTTCAGTGGAAGATTTTTTTCTTTCCCAAAATGTTCCCAGAAGAGAGGGAAATCAAAGGCCTGTTTTGTACATTACCCACAGTAACAAAATCAGCTGCAAATGGGAGTTCTGACATTAATGAAGGGGTTTCATTTCCCCTCTTCTGTGTATCTGCTCTTGCACTGGGCTGCAGTTTGGGGTTAAATCCTCTGGAGTTTTAGTTACAGTGGGACTGAGGAGGTTTCCTCACTGATGGCAAATCTGGGATCAGGAGGAAGGTCCTGGGTGAAAAACCACCCGGATTAGGAGAGGTGAGCTCCCCTACAGGCACTGAGCTGTAAACTGAATTTAACCCCCCCTCCCTTCCACAGTTCTGCTGGAATTTCAGAGACTTTTAAGTCATTTGCCTTTGATATGAGCTGTGCGTGACAAATCCTAAAAAATTCACTCATCTGAGCAGTTCTGAGGCCCAAAGCTGCTCTGCCCTCCCCATTCCCTCCCTGATCCAAATCCCATTTTGGAGTTAAACCTGAGGAACAAGGCTGCTCTGCTCTGGATTCCCGTTTCCCATCGGGGCAGGGGGATTTGCCTCGGGATATTTTCCTCTGAGGAGCTGTGAGCACGTTCAGGGCTATTTATTTCAAACAACAGCTTGCTCCAAACCCCCTCCACCCTCCTCCCAAATGCTTGGAGGCCAAAATTAGGTTTCAGAGATCTTGGAGCATCATTGTTTGGAGATGCTGTGTTTGATAGGACGCAGTTCATCCTCTTTATAGAAATAAAGTTCATCCCACTCAGGCTCACAGAGAACTGAGGGTCTCTTTTCCTAATTAACAGCACATTCTGATTAGTAATAAGCACTGTTTATATAGCTCAGCATTCTGTTGGTGCTAAAAGATGTAAATAACAGTTCCTGCCAGTTTGGAACAATATGCTCACCGAGTGAGAAATGGGGATTTTCAAAGGAGTTCAGAACTCAGATTTTGCTGAGGGAGAGCTGAAGGAAAGCTCATTTCACAGGAGGGACCCATTGATGAATGTGTACCAGGGGCTCTGCTGGCAAGCCATGCATCAGGAGGGTGACAATAGAACCCTGCAGTGCTCCTTGTGTGTTCAACATCTCTCTCAGGCAGCCTGAAGAAAGGAACTGCAATAAAAGCACTTGAGGAGCTGAGAAATGCCCTCTGATTTATGGAGCAGCAAAGTTCCCACCTGGCCAGGGAAATCCAGACTGGGGAATGGCTCAGCACAGGGGAAATCTGATTTTGTCACACTTGCCTTGGCCTGGGTCTCATCTCATCTGTGCCCACAGCTCTCGGGTTCCTGGGGAGGAGAGAACAGAACACAAAGTCACCATGGAGCTGGCTCTGTGCTGCTCCAGAGGGGCAGGGTGAGTTTGTCACTGCCCCACCAGGGCAGGAGGTGACATCCAAACCAAACCAGGAAAGCTTTTAAATCCCAAATCTGCAGAGCTCTGCTTGGGCTCGGCTGCACTTGGGGCAGGAAAGGGCAATTCTGGGCAAATCCCTTGGGAACTGCCCCTGAGGGCTCTGCTGGTGCTGTGCTGTCACCTCGGAGTGACAGTGACCAAACCTGGGGCTCACAGCAGTGCCACCCTGC